AAAAAAAAAAAAAAAAAAAAAAAAAAAAAAAAAAAAATCGGCCGCGCACGGGCGGCTAGCGAGTCGCGCGCGTTAAAAAAAGACACATGTACCATGTCTCATATAGGATTGGAAAAGGCCACTATATTTTGTGAACGGAACCAAATGGGTGCCTTATAAATCATATAAATGGAATGGTTTGTTTTGTATTATTGCATGTACCGGGACACGTACTAAAGAGAGCATTTTTTGTTTTTCCTCCTCCCCATCCAACTACATTTGAAAGACTGTTGCTAGGAAACTTTGCATTCCGTTTAGAAGACACCCGAGCCCAAGGGCAAGGGGTGTCTTATCTCATATAGCCAGCAGGGTATCTTATAAACAGAAGTTCCCTTTGTAAGAAATCACCCGTATAAAAGACACTATGCTACGGGTTCGAATCTTGAAGTTTGCAGATGCCGAAAGTATATATGTTTTTCCGAATGCAGTATCAGTGTAACTCGTATGTTACACTTTGTAGTCAGGGAAACAAAACTCTTATGCTGTTTTTGAAAGGGTAAAAAAAACACCACTAATTTAAAGAAAGGGTAATTGTACGATTAGCCTGCCTTCATCAGGGTAATTGAACATAAGCGGCCCACTGAAAGGGCAAAAATGGTAGTTTGCCCTGATATTTCGGGCCCAGCATGCAGCATGTGTATGATGCAAAGCACACAATGTTTGTCAAGCTCAACTCATGCCCCAATCCACTATTCAACGAGTGCTGATCGTTTTTTCCCCTTCTCTGCCTTTTTCTCCCTGCTTCACTTGTTTCCTTCTCTTGTTTGTGTCTCTTCGTTGTTTCCTGCTTTCCTCCTCTCTTTCTGATGGTATCGTGCATTTCTCTGCTTGGCTGTGCTCCCATGCATGTGCCTTGCTGTGCTTCTACTGCATTTTGCATATTTTAAGGCTGATAGATACCGAGGTCGTCGGGAAAAAATAAATTTTCACGTGGTAAAGTGTGGTCTGCGTACTACTCCCTACTGTCATTGAGTACCCCCCCGCCACTGTTGTGCCGCGATGACATGAGAGGACATGGTCCAGTTCCTACGGGCACGCCCTCCACAACAGCAGCAGCAGCCACCACCACAGCAGCAGCAACAACAACCAGCAGTAACATCAAAATCACCAACCGCACATGTATTGAAAGCAGAGATCACTTTCCATCATGTGGTGTTTCCATCAACACGCTTTATAATAAGAGCAGGTGCGCTTCTATCGGGGGGGACACGGTTGTTAGAAGATCAAGCGAGAATGATGCATTGAACAGAGATCTAGGTACAAGTACTAACCCTGATTTAGGTTGTACCCTTTATGGGCCACCCCACTACAGTCTACACAGCACAAGCATCATTAGAGTTTGACACAACCCCATAGGCAAAGTGGGGGAGAACCAGTGGTCACAAGACCAGTCAAGAAAAGCAAAGCAAGCTCAGGGTGGATCACGAAGTCACCACACATTCTGAGCACAAGCAAATGGCCACAAGGCCAGTTCACATGTAGAGTTATATAAAAAAGAGAAAACAGTACAGTGATCACTACCTAGCAAGAGTAAGCATGCAAGTATATATATAGATCACAGTACAAGCAAAGTCACGCAGTGAGCAAGTGAGACGAAGCAGGCACAAGGCCTAAAGCAGTACAGAAACGCTGATGATCACCAGGCGGAAGTGCCTTGGTGAATATATCAGCAGTGTTGGCCCGAGTGGCCACGTAAGCAAGACGAAGCTGACCACGCTGCTGCAACTCTCGAGCAAGAAGTAACACAGACAGATGTGCTTCGTTTTGTGCTCCAGTCTGTGCTCCTGACACAAGGCAATAGCGGCCTTGTTGTCTACGTACAGAACTGGAGGAGAACGAGGCTGCTCTCCCAAGTCGGTCAGCAGGTAAGTGAGCCAGCGTAACTCCTGTGCAGCTATGGCTCCTGCGTAGATCTCAACTTCACAGCTGAAGCTGAGAATAGAAGATGAGCGGGTAGACCGCCAAGAAACAGAGCCGGATCCAAGACTCAATGTGTAACCCTGTGACGACCGCTGAGTAGCCAGGTCGTCAACCCAAGACGCGTCCGAGTGTCCAGTGAGGACCTAGACTCTGTCCTCCAAGCACGAGCCCCATGCCCGATGTACTGCACAAGTAGCGCAACACCCTCTTAGCAGGCGCCCAGTGCTCTCGTCGATGTCTCCCGGGCGCAACATAGCATTTTAAGATGCTTAGAGGGTAGGCAAGGTCAGGTCGAGTGCAGGTCATCAGGTACATGATGCAGCCCACAAGCTCTGGATACGGGCCATTCGGCTCTACGGACCTGTCCGATGGTGGAGCTGAGAGCGAGTGACTGGTAGCCAGAGGAGTGGACTGTGGCGAGGACCAGGTGAAGCCGAAGCGCTGAAGGACCTGCTACACCATGTGTGACTGAGTCAGGGTGATGGTGCGTCGTGCTCTGTCCCGGGTGATCTGCAAGCCAAGATAGCTGCGCAGCTCACCCAGGTCTGTGCACGTGTGTCTCTTCTGCAGCTCCGACTTCACAAGGGTGAGTGCCTTATGTCAGCAGTGGCAAAAACCAAGTCGTCGACGTACATGAGGATGTAGAACGGCGGCAGCGAAGTGTCGGTGCGCAGAAACAGCGACGGGTCTGCAGTCGAAGGAGCAAACCCAAGAGCCACAAGTGTCGTCCTCAGTGTGTCGTGCCACTCAAAAGGCGCCTGGCGGAGCCCGTAGACTGGCCGCTGGAGGCTCCACCGAGCACCTGCAGGAAACGACCCAGTGAAGCCAGGTGGGCAGCGCAGCCAGATCTCTTCGTGCAGGCTGCCCTGTAAGAAAGTTGTGCTGAAGTCAAGAGAGTGAAGCTCGTTATCACGCTGAGCGGCAACGTGCATCAACACCCGAAGAGATGGTTTCCGCAGGTTTGAGCTTGACAATAGATCCCGTGCAGCACCTCCTATTATCTGCGTTCCCTGCGTCGTCAACATCCATGTAGTCGGTAAGCTGTATGGTAGCCGTTAGGTTCGATTTGTAGGCAAGGCCGACATCAGGAGTAGAGATAAATTATTGTAGGGCGCGTCGTAGGTCTGCCATGTTCTCCCCTTCAGGTCAGCGCGGGTAATGGGCGAGCTGGCTAGCGGTGTACGATAGTCGGCAGGTGACGGCGGTGAAGAGAAGGCACCCGAGTTCATGCTTGTAGAGACGATGAACAACGGCGGATAGGAGGTGGTAGAAGGCTCGTGGTTAGGCGGAGGGACACGGAAGGGGGTGGTGAGGCTGACAGGAGCGATGCGGAACTTCTTGGCGAGTGTTTCAGGCTGACAGGTGGATCGTGCCGGCCGACAGCGAGGAACTGAGTGACGTTGTGATTCATGGACACCTCGCGCCTCTGCTTGATGTCGCTCTCAAAGAGGTTTAGCATCTCCACGGTTTCTCCGACGTAGAGCAGGTCATCGACGTAGGCGACGAGCAGGATGAAGCTCCCGCGGAACTCGAGTTGGTACATTCTTTGATCGTGGGGCAGCTGCTGGAATCCAAGCTCGATGAGCATGGTGAGAAGATACTGCTGCCACAGGCGCGGGGCCTGATTCATCCCGTAAGAGGGATTTCTAGAGGAGGCACATTGCGTCGCTATACCCCTCAAAGGCGTGTGGCTGCTCGACGAAAATGATGGCGTCGATGATCTCGTACAGAATCACGTTCGACACGTCGATCTGGCGGAGTGGCGTTACTTCACAACTGCAATATAGATGAGAATCCACAAGGAGGTGTGTCGTCCAACAGGTGCGAAAGTCTTGTCATAGTCGGAAAATTGAGTTTGATTGAACCGCGTATCTTGTCATATACATATATACCTGCATGTTTGCTCTTGCTAGGTAGAGATCACTGTGCTGTTCTTGTTGCATATATACCTCTGCATGTGAACTGGCCGTGTGGCCCTTTGCTTGTGCTCAGTGTGTGTGGTGACGTTGTGATCCACCCTGAGCTTGCTTTGCATTTCTTGACTGGTCTTGTGACCCCTTGCTCTCCCCCACTTTGCCTATGGGGGTGTGTCAAATTATATGCATGTTATATATGTGTAGGTTGTAGTGGGGTAGCCAATATGGGGTACAACCCCATTAGGGTTTCATATTTGTACCAAACCCTGATCTAGTCATTTCATTCCTGTCTCTAGTTTCTGACATAAAATTGTATAGTTAATATTTTACGAACGCATGCGCTTATATTTTTTACTCAATTATAAGCGCACCCCCCTTGAAAATCATGTTTTACTATAAGCGCAGGTGCGCTTATATCCAGGTTAATACGGTACTTTCCTCCTCTCTTTCTGATGTTATCGTGCATTTCTCTGCTTGGCTTTGCTCCCATACATGTGCCTTGCTGTGCTTCTACTGCATTTTGCATATATGAAGGCTGATAGATACCGAAGTAGTCGGGAAAATTCATTTTTCACGTGGCAAAGTGTGGTCTGTGTACTACTCCCTACTGTCATTGAGTACCCTCTGCCACTGTTGTGCCGCGATCACATGAGAGGACATGGTCCAGTTCCTAGGGGCACGCCCTCCACAACAGCAGCAGCAGCCACCACCACAGCAGCAGCAACAACAACCAGCAGTAGGTAACAGCAGAACCACCAACCGCACATGTATTGAAAGTAGAGAACACTTTCCATCATGTGGTGTTTCCATCAACGAGCTTTATAATACCGGTAAGAGCAGGTGCGCTTCTATCGGGGGGGTCACGGTAGCCCTCTTAATCAGAATACATCATCTGCATTGTGATAGGTGAGCTTGCATAAAACTGCATTTGATATGTACACCAACATGTACTACTCCATGCGAAGGAACATTACAAATGCACAGAATCCGACCAACTAAGCTACAGTACCGGTAGTAGCATTCATGGATCCCACCTATTCTTTGTTCGACGGTATGTACCACTGCATAAGAATCTGCATTTGTGATGTTCCCTCTTGGATCACACATCTTCCCTTGGCCTGTCCTTCAAAGCCTGGCAGCAAGCAGCTTTCCCGACAAGCTGCTGGTGGTGGCGGCAAAGCCAATGTAGAGCTGGCCATTGATGCCAGCCTGGATGGCGCTGAGCACGTCCGCCAGGTCCGCCGGCGCGACAGTGAGCACATTGGCCAGCGACCACGACACGGAGCTCAGCAGCTGCCACGTGCCGGGCAGCTGCAGCGCCACGGGTGGGGCTGCCTGCCCGCACGTGCTGTTGCCGCTGTAGATGGCCGCCGCCTGCGGTGCCTCCGCCATGCCCGTCGCCACCAGCTCGTACGCCACCACGTATGACGACCCCCTGCTCATGAGCAAGGGGGCAGGGGGAGGGGGGAGGGCGAGGGGTTGGGAAGGAGGGGTTGACCGGGGTGCACAGCAGGGGATGTTTCACTATACGAGTGTTCTTCGCTGGAGGGTACTATCTACTGATAGGCAGAAGCATTATGAGAGTCAGAACGGATGGCAATGGTGTGGACGGGGATCATGGGGAATTGTGATAACGTGGAAGGAATCATGAGAAGATTAAGAGAGACAATGCGCGACTTGTGCAGGGAAGGCAGTAGTTGGGAAGGAGAGTGAGGGGCCGTGGCTTACATCTTGGTGATCTGGATGTTGGCTGCTCCCACCGGGAGAAGGCCCTCGCACGAGGTGAGCACGCCACGCAGCATGCCTGCAGAGACGGGATGAGCAGCAGTAGAAAAGGATTGGATTGAGTGAGCAGGGAGGGTGCAAGAATGGTGAGCACAAGCATGCCTGCAGTGACGTGACGGGCATTGTAACGGATCTATGAAGAAAAAGGGCATTTACCCACTTAATAATAGGTTCTAATACAACCAGAGAGTAGCAGCTCCTGGAAAATGACTAAGTCTGAGAGTTGCTAGGAGATGCAGTCACAAACTGTGGAAGGTGTGTTGTGAAGAGAGAGATCCCATTTCCCAATTGATTAGTTGGGAGTAGGAAATGGAGAATGAGCCAAGAGGCTTCAGACCCCTTCCCTAGACCCCCTTGGGGTGCAACCACCTTCCCCATGGCAAGGAGGGGTGCACTCCCTTGGGCCTTGCCCATGTGGCAATTAACAAGATTCTCAACCAATAATATTATACATAGCATGGATAGGAAATGCACAGCAATCACAAACCTGTGTTTGATGTTTATTGGTTGTGTTTGGAGTGAGCGGCGGAAATATTGTCGACTCACTCTTGGGGCTGTGATCTGATTGGTTGAATTAGTGATGAGGTGAACTTACGTGGGTTATGTTTGAACAAGCTCAAACCAATCGCGTAAGTTTGACTCAGGAACAACTTGATTGGTTGGTTTCCCAATCAATCCTGAATTGTCCGTAAGTCTCGCTTTCCCAACCAACCAGATTCCCCACCTTTCTCCCTCAGCTGGTTCGATGTATCGAGACCAGCTGGGTTTTCGTACGGATGTTACACTCCCCCCTCCAGCTGGCAACGTCCTCGTTGCCGTGGGGTGCTTCTTAGGACGAGTGCTACGAGCACGACGAACCACATTACGACCAGGGTCAACACCATCCGCTGGTTGTGGGAGTGCTCGCTGAGCCAGGTCTTCCATGTAAGACTGGACCGGAGTATCAGTCAAATGTTCTTCCGGCTCCCATGAGTTGTGTTCAGGCCCATAGCCTTTCCACTTAATGAGGAACTCTCGTACAGTCTTGCGGCCGCGTTGTCGATCACGGTGCAAAAGCACTCGTTCGACTTCATAGTACAGTTCCTCCCCTAGGACGATTGTTGGTGGTGGCAAGTACTTGCCTTCTGCAACGTACTTGCTTAACAGAGACACATGGAAGACATTGTGAATCTGCAGGGTATCAGGTAGCTTGAGCTTGTAAGCTACCGCACCAACTCGTTGCATCACCTCGAAGGGCCCAATCCAGCGAGGGAACAACTTTCTCGCACCAGGGATCTTAAGCCGAATATTTTTCGTGCTTAATAAAACTTTGTCTCCAACGGAGAACGATACTTCCCGGCTTTTGATGTCGGCATAGGATTTTTGTCTTTGTTGGGCCAACTGCAGCCAATGACGTGCCGACTTTAGGGCCTCTCGTTGCTTGCCCACAAAATCCTTTGCGGCAGGTAATTTCAAACCGCCGATCCCATGCGTAGCAGGTGTTGTGGGATGCCGACCACAGTTCAGGATAAATGGTTTTTCATGTGTGCTATCATGCACTGAGTTGTTAACCGCAAACTCGACCATGGGTAACAACTCGTCCCAATTGTCCTGTGTTGGGCTTATGAAAGAACGAAGCATCTGCTCGAGAGTGCGGTTAGTCCGTTCCGTTTGGCCATCAGTCTGGGGATGGAACGCTGACGACATCTTAAGCTTCGTTCCTAGTGTCTCGGTTACTTCACGCCAGAATCGGCTCGTGAAGCGCGGGTCGCGATCAGACACTAATACACGTGGCAATCCGTGTAGGCGGAACACATGTGTCACGAACAACCGAGCAGTATCCTCTGCTGACACGTCTGTTGTCGTGGGTACGAAGTGCACCATTTTTGTAAGGCGATCTACGAAGACGAGTATCGCCGTATACCCATCACGGGTTCTTGGGAGGTCGGTGATGAAATCCAGTGAAACGCTTTCCCAAGGTTCACTCGGAATTTCAAGTGGTTGAAGCAAACCACCAGGCTTCTGTGTGTCCGGTTTGTTACGTGCGCACGTGTCACAACGTGCCACAAACTGTTGGACATCACTACCGACTCCAGGCCACCAATATACATCGCGTAAGGCCCACCGGGTCTTATTCATGCCCAGATGTCCCCCGTATTTAGTGGCGTGCACCTCTTCCAAAATATCGTTCCGTAGATTGCCTACATGAGGTACCGCAATCTCTTTTGTTCGCCACCAAAGATCGTGTTCCCAAGTCAAATGCTTAGTGTTTTGTGGGTTCTGGAACCAGGAATCGATATGATATCCTGTGCGAATTCGTTTCAGAAAACCACTGAACGCGATCTCGCTCACTTTCGCCGTAGCTAGTATACTAAAACAGGCAGCAAAAACAGCCGCATGTTCGGTATCGTCAAGCCCAGTTGCTGCCCCTATCGGCTGTCTGCTGAGGGGGTCAGCCAGGTTCGTCGAACCCGCACGATAACGAATGTCGAAACTGAACCCACTGAGGAGTTCAGCCCAACGGGCCTGACGGCGAGTGAGGGTAGCTTGGGTAGAAAAATATGTGTTCGGACAATGGTCAGTGGTGACCACGAACTCTACCCCTTCCAAATAACATCGCCATATTCTTGGCGCATGCACGACAGCCAACAATTCCTGTTCGGTAGTCGTGTAGCGTTGCTCTGCCGGGGAGAGTTTTCTACTCTCGAATGCCACAGGGCGTCCATCTTGCAGGAGTACTGCTCCAAGTCCCACCGTTGAGGCGTCTCATATGGTTTCTGTGGGTTTGGCAACGCCAAAACTGGTGCGTTGGTTAAAATAAAATAAAACCCCCTCAAAGGCCTTTTGGCACTATGGGGTCCACTCCCACGCACACCCTTTCCGGGTCAATGCCGTGAGGGGAGCGACTATCGTGGAATAATTTTCCAAGAAGCGACGAAAATAATTCGCCAGGCCCAGGAATGATCGAACTTGGCCAACGTCGCGTGGGACGGGCCACTCCTGGACAGCTGCTACCTTCTTGGGGTCCACTTTCAACCCATTATGCCCCACCACGTGCCCCAAATACTCTAGCTCACGCTTGTAAAAATGGCATTTCCACAAACGCGCGTAGTATTTGTGCTCGCGTAATTTTCCGAGGACCCATTTTAAATGTTCCGTATGCTCGTCTTCGGTTTTCGAGTATACCAGGATATCATCGAGGTACACCAAGACGAACTGGCCAATCGCATCACGAAACACATCGTTCATCGCCCTCTGGAAAGAGGCCGGAGCGTTGGTCAAGCCAAAACTTAACACACGCCACTGAAAATGGCCGAACGGCGAACGGAAAGCCGTCTTTGGAACATCGTCCTCTGTTATACGCAGATGGTGATAGCCTTGCGCCAAATCCAATGCACTGAACCATTGCGCACCCTGTAGTCGATCAAATAAATCTTCTATCCGCGGAAGTGGATATCTGTTTTTGATCGTAATTTTATTCAGGGCTCGATAATCGACGCACATGCGCAGTCCGCCCCCTTTCTTGTGAACGAACAAGATAGGTGCTCCGTATGGGGACGCGCTAGGTTCTATCCATCCCTTCCTGAGGTATTCCTCAATCTGTTGTTTAGCCTCCTCGTACTCAGCTGGACTGAGGCGATACAGAGGTCTAAATGGTGGTGCCTTTCCTGGTTCCACCGGGATGGTATGGCCGACTGCACGGTCGGGAGGTAACCCGTCCGGAATTGGCTCAAAAACCTCAGAATATTCCTCTGCCAACGCCTTCATTTGAGGTGGGAAATCTTCAATAATCTGTGAAGTAGTTGGTTCGGAGTCTAGCTGTACAACAAAAAGTGTATCAGCTACCTTGACATGCTCTTTGAATTGGAGAGCCGACGCAAAGCGTACGTCAAGAGCTAATGTTTGAGGTTTGTCGTCCAGTGCTTGGCGCTTTGGGACTTGCCATTGAAACGTCGTCCCATTCTTTGTGAAGGAAAGCGTGTTATCTTGGAAATTTAAGATCACCTCATTAGGCCGCAGCCAATCCATTCCCAAGACAATGTCTACGCCTGCTAGGAGGGGTAAGACAAAAACGATAATAGTCTCCTGATATCCTTGGATATCTAGGTTGACCAAGGCATGTCCTCTGCATGGGATGACCCTGTCATCTCCCAGACGGATAGAGCACGATGGTCCTTGAACAGGCACATTCAAATACCCCATCCATTTCTCATCGATCAATGACGCAGTCGCTCCTGTATCAACCAGGATCGAGGCACTGCGCCCGTTTACACGACCAGAAAACAAAAGATTTTGCTGATGTTTAGGTCGAATAGGACATGCCGTGATGTCAGTGGGAGGCAAATAATATGCCTTAATGCCGTGCTTGCTGCGTCCAAAAGAACGAGCTTGTGTCCACCACACATGGTGTCCTTTATCCCACTGCGCTAACACGCTCCATCCTTGAAGTGCTCGAAACAATTTACCTCGAACTGTGCGCGTTACCATTCCAACCGCAGTTAGAGGGTGCGCTTGGGTGCAACGACCCACGACGTCCATTATCCAAGGCAAATTATGGTGATCACAAAATATAAATGAGAATTTATCTCTTAGTGATTCAACTGTGATATTTTCCAGTGGGTGAAATCGAGAGGCAAATAAAGAGCTTTCATTAAAAGAAAATGCATACACACATGCAATTTTGCAATCAACAAGGCACTCGAGTTTCAACAACTCCTCATCCCGCAGGACCACTGCCTCATCCTCTCGATCTGCTATGCCCGCTAGGTACCCACCCCCTAGTTGGGCTTTGCAAAATCCCGCTGGCTGCCCGAGGGACCACTGCCGTCATTGCGCTTGTTGTCCGTCTTAGCCTTGCCAGAGTACTTCACCGCCTTGCGGTGGCGGCACTCATAGCCCTTGTGTCCAGGCTTGCCGCACTTGAAGCAGCTCTGGACATTGCTTGGTCCACCCTCGTTGACCTTCTTGGCCTTATGGTCAGCCTGCTGCCCCTGCTGGAAGGGCCTCTTGTGGTTCCCGCCCTTCCAAGGCGTCCCCTGCTGCCTTCCGCTAGGACCCGCAGTGCTAGACGACGGCCTTGAAGTCTGCTGCGGCTGGGTAGTGGTTTTGGCATAAGCACGGAAATGCTTATCAGTGGTCCCCACCACGCGCTTCACGTGATCATAGGACCGCCATGCCTCCCCAGCCCCATCCGTCATATGCATGTTCTTGAGGTGCTCAGGCAACCCCCTGAAGAACAGGTGGATCTTTTCGCCTTCGCTCATACGTTCCGCCGGTTTCTGGAGCACCCAGATCTCCTCGAACTCCACGGCGTACTGCTGCACTGTGCGGTTCCCGCACTGCAGCTTCTCAAGGCGACTGCGCACCTCCAGCTGGGTCGGCTGGACCTGAAAAGCTTGCTTGAGCGCAGAGGCAAATTCCTCCCATCCAAACGGCTTCCTATCCGCCTCAGCCTGGATCTTGCTGCCATACACCACTCGCTGTGCATTCTGGTCCAGCACGGTGGTGGCAGCGACGACGCGAGCGTCGTCTTGGACCTTGTGCGCCTTGAACAGGTCGGTCATCATCGACAGCCACGCAGCCACGTCCGTCTTGCCATGGATGAATGGCGGCAGGGTGATTGGCAGAGAGCCAAAGGCCTGCGTGCTCGGCTCAGCAGCGCGCTGCGTAGAAGGACCGGGGTCACCCACTGCACCACCAGAGCGAGAAGGGTTGGTGCGACCGCTAGCAGAGTTGGCGGGCGGGTCCGCTCGCGGTGCAGGGCGATACATGGTCTCCCTCCGAAGGGCGTTGAAAGCCTCGCGCAGATCGTTGATCTTTGAGGTCTGCCGCGCCAGCTGGTGACCTTGCTCCCGCGCATCGTGCTTCATGTTCTTGAGCTCAACTTCCAGGTACTTGATTTTGTTGTCCTGGTCAGAGAGCTCCCCCCTGAGCGTGGAGATGAGAGACTGCTGCTGCTGGATGCGCGTATCCTGCTCAGCAGCGTGATCCTGCAGCTTAGCAATTTCAGCATGCAGAATATCCTCTTCGCCCTCCAGCTCAATGTCATCCCCCTGAGACTCCCTTTCCTGTTCCTTGGAATTTTCAGCAGCTGCAGGGTCCTTAGCAGAGGAGTTTTCAGCAGGTTCCTTGTCAACCATTTCCTCATCCATGTTGTTCAGATCAATCTTCTGCACACAAGCTTCCAGTTCAGCCTGGGAGTTGTTCCCTTCAACACCTCCAGCATTGGAGTTGGTAGAAGCCATTGAGAGTCAAGTCACTGTATTATAAAAATGAGTTACAGATCTACTGCAAATTGTTATCACCGCAGTGAATAACCAAGATTTTCTCCAAAGGAGAAATTTCTTCAATAGATCTTACAACCACAGCAATGTGAAAAACACCTCTGTTGCAAAATATTGTTAAACTGTATTATGCTTGTAGGCTGTAGTGGGGTAGCCAATATGGGGTACAACCCCAACTAGGGTTTCATATTTGTACCCAAACTTCTGCTAGTTCATCATTCTTGCCTAGTGATTCTGACATGGTATTCAGAGCAGGAGGTCCCTAGGACCTACCGACCGTTTTTTTAAGGGCCCACCACCGCTCGCATGCGGTTACCACGCTACCCCGTGCCCTAGCCTCGTTAGCGCCCTCGCGCGCCCCTCGTTAGCGCCCTCGCGCGCACCCTCGTTAGCGCCCTCGCGCGCCCCTTCGTTAGCGCCCTCGCGCGCCCCTTCGTTAGCGCCCTCGCGCGCCCCTTGCTAGCGCCCTCGCGCGCCCCTCACTAGCGCCCTCGCGCGCCCCTCGCCGAGCCGCCCGCTCGCAGCCCGCCCGCCCGCTCGCTGCCCGCTTCGCGGCCCGCTCACTACGCAGCCCGCCCGCCCGCTCGCTGCCCGCTTCGCGGCCCGCCCACTTCGCAGCCCGCCCGCCCGCTCGCTGCCCGCTTCGCGGCCCGCCCGCCTCGCAGCCCGCTCGCCCCGCTGCCCGCTTCGCGGCCCGCCCACTTCGCAGCCCGCCCGCCCGCTAGCTGCCCACTTCGCGGCCCGCCCGCATCGCAGCCCGCTCGCCCCGCTGCCCGCTTCGCAGCCCGCCCGCCCGCCCGCTGCCCGCTTCGCGGCCCGCCCGCCTCGCAGCGTCGCCCGCCCGCCGTGCTGCCCGCTTGCAGCGCCGCCTGCCCGCCGCGCTGCCCGCTTCCCGGCCCGTCCGCCGCGCTGCCCACTCGCAGCGTCGCCCTCCCGTCGCGCTGACCGCTTGCAGCGCCGCCTGCCCGTAGCGCCAGCCTCGCCCGCTGCTCTCTATCCGTGCACAGTCGCCTTCCCCTGCTGCGGCAGCTTGCGTTACTCTGTCACACTGTCGCTATGGCTTCCATCCGCGTGCTGTCGTTCGATGCTGAGGGCCGCCCTGTGCGGTTCACCGCTTGGCTAGATGACCTGCAGCTGTTCCTCCTGAGCGATAGCAAGGAGCATGTGTCGCTCTATGACTACGCGTCTGGTGCTGCGCCTGCCCCTCCTGCCACAGCTGAGCTTAGTGTTCGTTCCCACTGGCAGACTCGTGACGCAGCTGCTCGCCTAGCCATTCGCAGTCACCTGCCGTTAGCTGAGCTAGAGCATTTTGGCGACTGCAAATCCGCTAAGGCCCTGTACGACGCTGTCGTCGCTCGCTACTCCTCGCCTGCCACAGCCGAGCTTAGCCGCCTCATGCTGCCGTACCTGTTCCCCGATCTGTCCACCTTTACTACAGTCGCCGATCTTATCACCCACCTTCGCACTAGTGATGCTCGCCTGCGTGCCGCCCTTCCCACCGAGTTCTGCGCTAAGAACCCCCCTCCACTGTACTGGACACTCCACTTTATAGTCACTCGTCTCCCTGACACCCTCCGCTCAGTTCGAGACCACTTCCTTGCTCGCTGTCCCACTGAGCTCACAGTCGCCCTCCTAGAGGAGCACCTGCTCGCGGCCGAAAAGAGCATTGTAGCTGTCGGTGCTGCTCGTGGCGCTCCTCGCACCCCCATCTTTGAGGGGTGTTCTCCCTCTCCCCTCGCTCCCTCCTACGCTGCTGCTGCTGCTGTTGACTTCCTTGGTGCTGAGTCTGTTGGCGCTGCTTCTGCTCCTGGTGGGAGGCGCCGCACCGGCAAGGGCAAGGGGGGCAAGGGTGGTGGTGGTGGCGCTGGGGGGGGAGGAGGTGGGGGAGGTGGGGGGGGAGGCGGTGCTGGAGGGAGCGGTGGCGGGAGCGCTGGTGGGAGTGGGGTCGGTGGTGGAGACGGGGGCGGCGGAGGAAGCAGTGGCAGTAGTGGCGGCGGCGGCAGTGGCGGCGGTGGCGGTGGTGGCGGTGGTGGCGGTGCCGGTCGGAGCGGTGGTAGTGGTGGCGGCGGAGGTCGGAGTGGAGGCACTGGCTCGGGCCAGAGCTCCCAGCAGCAGCAGCGTCCCCAGACGACCCAGCAGCTTCGTGAGTGGCTTGCTCAGCGTGGGACGTCGGGGGCCAGTGCCCGCTGTTCTTATGTCATTCGCACAGGTGACCGCAAGGGACAGACGTGTGGGAGGTTCCACACCCCGTACCGCTGCTTCTCCCGCCTTGACGACGCTTGGCGTGAGGAGATGGGTGCGGATGTTGAGCGCCCCCGCTGGGCTGAGCTCATGAGGGCTGGTGTTGATGTCTTTGCTCTTGACTATGATGCTATTATTGCTGCCATGTATGCATTGACTGTTAGTGCCGAGGGAGACTGTTACTTGTGTGTGCCGCCTGACCCAGGTATAGAGCCCGCTGCCCTGGGTACTAGTGAGTCTGCTCTCTCTGGTATGGTGCCCCCTGTACTTGCTCCCCCCAGTGCTGTCCCGGCTGGTTTCGAGTCTGCTCTCTCAGGTACAGCACCCACACAGACTGCTCTCTCAGGTACCGCACCGGCTGAGGCCTGTCACACCTTCACCCTTGACTCAGGTGCTTCCCGTTGCTTCTTTCGTGACAGTACTGAGCTCACACCGCTTCCTGCACCGGTCCCAGTCTCCTTGGCTGACCCCTCTGGGGGCCCAGTCCTTGCCCAGTCCACCACTGTCCTCCCTTGTCCGGCGGTTCCGTCTGGCTCGTTGTCGGGTTTCCACCTCCCCTCGTTCTCGACGAACCTGGTGAGCAACGCTGTCCTCCAGGATCAGTGGGTTGACACCTTTACCCCTGGCGGACAGCGTGTGGCGATCTGCACGTGCTCCAGGACTGGCCGTCACCTGGCTACGTTCACCCGTCGGCCGGGGTCGAGTCTCTACACACTGACCACTGCGTCTCCCCAGGTAGCTGCTGTCGGTCAGGTGTCTGCGTCAGGTCTGGTGGCCCACGCCTGTGAGTGTCGTTCCCTGTCGCACCAGACTCTTCTCTGGCACCACCGCCTGGGTCACCCCTCCTTGCCACGCCTTCGTGGCATGCACCGTCGCCTCCTTGTGTCCGGTCTTCCCAGGTCCCTCCCTCCCCTCCCTGCCTCGCCTGCGCCGCCTTGCCTTCCTTGCGTCGAGGGGCGGCAGCGCGCCGCTCCTCACTCCTCCTCGTTCCCCCCGACAGAGGCTCCTCTGGAGACCCTCCACCTGGACGTGTGGGGCCCAGCCCGCGTTCGTGGTCAGGGCGGTGAGCGGTACTTTCTGCTGGTTGTCGACGACTACTCGCGTTACACCACGGTCTTCCCCTTGCGCACCAAGGGTGAGGTCCCTGCTGTTCTGATCCCTTGGATCCGCACGGTTCGTCTCCAGCTCCGCCGCCGTTTCCGGACGGATCTTCCTGTCCTGCGTCTGCACTCTGACAGAGGTGGTGAGTTTTCCTCCGATCTCCTGAGGACCTTCTGTCAGGCAGAGGGCATCGAGCAGACCTTCACGCTTCCGGACTCCCCACAGCAGAATGGGGTTGCTGAGCGCCGCATTGGCCTGGTCATGGAGATCGCTCGTACCTCCTTGGTCCACGCGGCGGCTCCCCATTTTCTGTGGCCGTTTGCTGTCCGGTACGCCGCGCATCAGCTCAACCTCTGGCCCCGTGTCTCCTTGCCGGAGACCTCGCCCACACTGCGTTGGACGGGGGAGGTTGGCGATGCGTCGCGCTTCCGGGTGTGGGGTGCTCGTGCCCTTGTCCGCGATACGTCCGCGGACAAGCTCTCCTCCCGCACGCTTCCCTGTGTCTTCCTTGGCTTTGTCCCTGACGCGCCTGGCTGGCAGTTTTACCACCCCACCTCGCGCCGGGTCTTCGCCTCTCAGGATGTCACCTTTGACGAGTCGGTCCCTTTTTACCGTCTCTTCCCCTACCGCACTGCCCCCCTCCCTCCCCCGCCGCTTTTCCTTGCTCCTGGTCCCCCTCCGGTAGACCCCCTTCCCCCTCAGGGTCCTGCTCCTTCAGGTGTCTCTCAGGTAGACCCTCCTCCCGTCGCTGAGCCTGTCGAGGTCACAGGTGACTCAGGTGCTGCTGCGGGTGGTGCTGCTGGGAGTGCTGAGCCTGGGGGTGCTGGGCCTGGGGGTGCTGGGGCTGCAGGTGCTGGGACTGAGGGTGCTGGAGCTGAGGGTACGGTGCCTGAGAGTATGGAGCCTGGGGGTGCTGCGCCTGGGGGTGCTGAGCCTGCGGGTGCGGGGCCTGGGAGTGCTGGGACTGCGGGTGCTGGAGCTGAGGGTACTGTGCCTGAGAGTTTGCCGCCTGGGGGTGCTGCGACTGGGGGTGCTGAGCCTGCGGGTGCTGAGCCTGAGGGTACTGAGCCTGGGGGTGCTGCTACTGAGCCTACGGAGCCTCGGGTTACTGCGTCTGGGGGTGCTCCGGTTCGGGGTGCTGAGCAGTCTCTCACACCGCAGCAGCTTCGCGACTGGTACGTCCGCCGCTTTCGCCGTCCTAGTGGCTCGGCTGGAGTTTGGGGTGCTGGAGCTGCTCGTCCTGGGGGTGCTCGTACTGGGGGTACTGGAGCTGCCGGGACTGGCTGTTCTGGGAGCACTGTGACTGGAGCTGCTGGAGCTGGGGACTCTGGCGCTGGCGGTGCTAGCGGAGTTGGAGCTGCCGACTCTGGGGGTGGCGCTGCTGCTGGTGCTGCGGACCCACCTGGTGGAGCTGCTGCTGGTGCTGAGGAGTCGGACGGTGGAGCTGCTGCTGGAGCTGGGGACCCGGCCGGTGGAGCTGCTGCTGGTGCTGTGGACCCGGACGCTGGAGCTCCTACTGGTGCTGAGGACCCGGCCGCTGGAGTCCCTTCTGCTTCTGGAGACGCTGCGCGGCCGCGACCGTACTTCGTACCGCTCCTTCAGCAGGTTCTTGGGCAGGCTCCTCCTCCTTGTCCTCCTCCCTCCGTAGAGTGTCCTCCGCCTGTCCAGCCGCAGTCACAGTTACCGCCTGCCTCGCCTCTCCCTGCTCCCTCTCCTTATACTGGTCCCACAGGAGGTCTTACAGAGCGTCGTGAGCCTGAGTCTCGTCCTGCGTCGCCTGTTCGTCCTGCTCGCACTGGTAGTCGTGTCCGTCGTGAGCGTCCTCCTCCTGTCCCAGGCACTCACTACATGACTCTGCGTCCCTCTACTGCTCCTCGGCGTGTCCCTCTACCGTCTCCTCCTGCGTCCTCTTTGCCTGCCGTTCCGGACCCTGAGTCTGACCGGTATCGCGCTGAGCACCCTACAGTCACGCGTCTCCTTGCTACTGTTGTCACTGACCCCACCTTTGAGTCCTCGGCTGCATCTGCTCTGGTCGCTGAGTTGGTTGACTTTGCTGCTGCCTGTCGTCTAGACTACGCTGCTAGCCTTGTCGCTGAGTCAGAGTCTGCGTCTGTCTGTCCTCCGTCCGTCGGGGGTGAGTGTGCTCTTGGCACGGACGTCCTTGAGGACAGGCAGGAGGACTTTGACTCACTTGCGGCTGCTGTACCTCATCTCGTGGCCTGGTTGCTTGCCCCTGAGGGAGACCCGGATGCACTAGACATCCCCACTCCGCGCACTTACGCAGAGGCGATCTCGGGTCCCTACTCCTCTCAGTGGCAGACAGCCATGGACGCAGAGATGGCATCCTGGAAGTCCACAGGCACCTACGTCGACGAGGTTCCCCCTCCTGGGGCGAACATCGTCGATGGCATGTGGATTTTCAGGGTGAAGCGGCCGCCAGGTTCTCCGCCTGTCTTCAAGGCTCGTTACGTTGCTAGAGGCTTCAGTCAGCGTCAGGGGGTCGACTTCTTCCAGACCTTCTCCCCCACCCCGAAGATGACCACTCTTCGGGTTCTGCTGCACGTTGCTGCTCAGCGTGACTACGAGCTTCACTCTCTTGACTTCAGCACAGCGTTCCTGCAGGGCAGCCTGCACGAGGAGATCTGGCTGCGCCGCCCACCTGGCTTTACTGGGTCGTTTCCCCCTGGTACCCAGTGGAGTCTCCGCCGGCCAGTCTACGGTCTCCGCCAGGCGCCACGTGAGTGGCACGACACACTGAGGACTACTCTTGCGGCTCTTGGGTTCGCGCCGTCTACTGCTGACCCGTCGCTGTTTCTGCGCACAGACACGTCGCTGCCGCCGTTCTACATCCTCGTGTACGTCGACGACTTGGTCTTTGCTACTGCTGACACTGAGGCACTCGCTCGTGTGAAGTCGGAGCTGCAGAAGAGACACACCTGCACTGACCTGGGTGAACTGCGTAGCTACCTTGGCTTGCAGATCACCCGGGACAGAGCTCGCCGCACCATCACCCTGACTCAGTCACACATGGTGCAGCAGGTCCTTCAGCGCTTCGGCTTCCAGTTCTCCTCACCACAGGCCACACCTCTGGCTACCAGCCACTCGCTCTCAGCTCCACCTTCGGACGAGTCCGTAGAGCCGAGTGGTCCATATCCAGAGCTTGTAGGCTGCCTCATGTACCTGATGACTTGCACGCGACCTGACCTCGCGTACCCTCTTAGCATCCTTGCTCGTTACGTTGCGCCTGGGAGACACAGGCGAGAGCACTGGGAGGCTGCTAAGAGGGTGCTGCGTTACCTGTGCAGTACATCAGGCATGGGGCTGGTGCTTGGAGGACGCGACAGAGTTGTCCTCACTGGTCACTCGGACGCCTCTTGGGTGGACGACCTGGCTACGCAGCGGTCGTCACAGGGTTACACCTTCAGCCTTGGCTCTGGTTCTGTCTCGTGGCGGTCCACCCGCTCTTCCTCTGTTCTCGGCTCTAGTTGTGAGGCTGAGATCTACGCCACAGCCATGGCTGCACAGGAGTTACGCTGGCTCACCTACCTGCTGACTGACTTGGGAGAGCGGCCTAGTTCTCCTCCAGTTCTGTACGGTGACAACAAGGCGGCTCTTGCCTTGTGTCAGGAGCACAGACTGGAGCACAGGACGAAGCACATTGCTCTTCGCTACTTTCTTGCTCGAGAGCTTCAGCAGCGCGGTCAGCTTCGGCTTGTGTACGTGGACTCGAAGGCCAACACTGCTGATATCTTCACCAAGGCGCTCCCGCCTAGTGATCATCAGCGGCACTGTACTTCTTTAGGCCTTGTGTCCACGTTTCCTCACTTGCTCACTGCTTGACATTCTTTGTACTGTACTTTATATATATCTTGTTGCTTGCTTGCTAGGTTTTGATCACTGTGTTGCTTGTCTTGTACTATATCTAGCACTGCATGTGAACTGGCCTTGTGGCCTTTACTTGTGCTCGGAGTGTGGTGACGTTGTGATCCACCCTGGGCTTTGCTTTGCTTTGCTGGACTGGTCTTGTGACCCTTTGTTCTCCCCCACTTTGCCTATGGGGGTGTGTTAAACTGTATTATGCTTGTAGGCTGTAGTGGGGTAGCCAATATGGGGTACAACCCCAACTAGGGTTTCATATTTGTACCCAAACTTCTGCTAGTTCATCATTCTTGCCTAGTGATTCTGACAAATATCCTTACCACCGCAGTGGATAAGGCAAGAACAATCACAAAGTGATTGTCTTCAACAGAGAATGTTAATACACACAGGTTGCACTCCTTCACAGTAGCTCCAATGGTTCCACCAGCAGGGAGGGAGGGAGGGCTGAGAACTCTTGGAGAAGCTTCAAAGTCTTGAAAACTTGAGCTTGAGCTTGTAGTCTTCAAAAACTTTATAATAGAGATTACAATACAATCACAACTTCTCCAAAAATAAAAAAAAAATCCACAAAATCCTCTTATATGCCCACAAGGCGAGGATCTACTAATAGCTCTGAATACCAATGTAACGGATCTATGAAGAAAAAGGGCATTTACCCACTTAATAATAGGTTCTAATACAACCAGAGAGTAGCAGCTCCTGGAAAATGACTAAGTCTGAGAGTTGCTAGGAGATGCAGTCACAAACTGTGGAAGGTGTGTTGTGAAGAGAGAGATCCCATTTCCCAATTGATTAGTTGGGAGTAGGAAATGGAGAATGAGCCAAGAGGCTTCAGACCCCTTCCCTAGACCCCCTTGGGGTGCAACCACCTTCCCCATGGCAAGGAGGGGTGCACTCCCTTGGGCCTTGCCCATGTGGCAATTAACAAGATTCTCAACCAATAATATTATACATAGCATGGATAGGAAATGCACAGCAATCACAAACCTGTGTTTGATGTTTATTGGTTGTGTTTGGAGTGAGCGGCGGAAATATTGTCGACTCACTCTTGGGGCTGTGATCTGATTGGTTGAATTAGTGATGAGGTGAACTTACGTGGGTTATGTTTGAACAAGCTCAAACCAATCGCGTAAGTTTGACTCAGGAACAACTTGATTGGTTGGTTTCCCAATCAATCCTGAATTGTCCGTAAGTCTCGCTTTCCCAACCAACCAGATTCCCCACCTTTCTCCCTCAGCTGGTTCGATGTATCGAGACCAGCTGGGTTTTCGTACGGATGTTACAGGCATGGGCGGTCAAGAATTGGAATGAGAGAGGAGGGTTTTGCAAGAATGACCCGCCGGCTGCGGTTTAGGGTTTGCAAGACTGACCTGGTGGGTGCGGGTTTAGGGTTTGCGGGATGGGGGTTTGCGGGACTGACCTGCTGGGTGCGGCAGCAAAGCCACGAGGTCCGCCACGCCAAGGGCGTCACTCAGCGGGGCGATCAGCGCGTCCACCTGCGCAGCGAGCGCCGACACGTCCACATTCAGCGCACCCACCCTCTGAGTGAGCGCCGCCACTCGCTGGCTGAGCAAGGCGCGGAGGTTAGGGAGGATGGCCGCCAGGTCCGTGTTGAGGGAAGTGGCGCGATTGTTGATAGCGGGGATGCTGCTTCTTAGCGACGAGATGCGAGACTGGAGTGCGACAGGTGTCGCCTGCGGAGCAACGCCGCCGGGTCGGGAGATTCTAAGGTACAAGATAAGGTCTAGGTTCGCAATGCGGGCGTTTAGAGTGTCGATGCTGCTCTGCAAGGCGGAAATCTGTGCTTGAAGCGCCAGTGTGGCCGCGGATGCGTTGTCGTTCAGCGAGGTAGCGAGCTTGTTGAGTGCTTGCGTCAGCGTTCCTTCTAGTGAAACGACTTGCGCTTGCAGCGCGGATATTAGGCCAGACACGCTACTAGTGATGGTGCTGGTGACTTGGGCTGGTCGGTTCGGGAGGCGATTCCCGAGCAGTCCGTTGGAGACGATTCTAGACTGTGCGCATGATGCGAATAGCGCCGTTACAAGCAGTGCCGCCATCAGTGAGGAAGCTACAAGAGAACGCGCCATGGGGATGAAATGCTAGAAAAGGAGTGCAGTAATGATCGCTGCTGGTACCAGGAGGTACGTAATTTTACTCGAGCGGATAAGGCAGCGATGGGCGATTGAACGCAGTTGCGAAGAGTGGGAGCGATTGAAAGCAGTTGCTGATCTAGTAGGCGATTGGATGTGAGATGCAGATTGCGGCTTGGGCTCGCTTATATACTCGCTAACGAGGTAACGCTTGAACCAGAAGTGCTGCTGTGACGGTGAGCGCGTAATCTTGGGAGGGAGTCACCGAGGCGGTGTTGGACGGTTGGTTCGCGGCGATCGGGTGGGTGAGCGTGGGCGACGATGAGTGAGGTGCGGCGAACCAGCGACGATCTGGGCAGTTGTTTCCACCGAAAGCTTGATTCGCTTCACGCGGAATTGCTGTGAGCGAAGACGGCGAAGTTCAGGGAGGAAGCAGTCGCGCCGCGTGTTACTGCAGATTTGAATTTCTACAAATCTACCTGATAGTAACATATCCTCTTTTCAAACAATCAATATGATCTCATTAGTGGACAGGCGACAGGGTTGCGGTGGAGAGAGGGGTGCGGTAAGGCTGCCCGCTGGCGCCGTACCTGTTCTTATGCGCGGTGGAGCCACTCTGTCAGGAGTTTGCGCGGCGAAGACTGGGTGTCGGCGACAGCGGGGCAGAGAGGCTGGCATATCTGGGTTATGCTGACGACACATCGCTTCTGCTGAACGGGGAGGAGCAACCGGCTGTTGCAGCTGAAGTGTTGGAAAACTTTGGGGAGGCATCGGGGCTGAAAGTGAACAAAGATAAGACGGTGGTCTTTCCGCTTGGAGTGAACAGAGGGAGACTCCCACCGGCGGACCTGCAGTACAAATGGGCCGACAAAGATGCACCGGAGAGATTGCTGGGTGTCTAGATCACCCCAAACGGCGACCCGCTTCCGTCCTGGGAAAAGGCGTTAGAAAGGGCGCGCAAGGAATTGGCCAAATGGGAGATTCAGCACTTAACAACGTCGGCGAGAGTCACGATAATCAACGGGTACATCTCGCCCATCTTCATGTTTCAAGCATACATTTACCCGCCTCCAGAGGAGATATGGTCGAAGATCAAGAGGATTTGCCACAACTTTGTCTCGGGGGGTGAGGCGACGGAAGAAAAGGCCTTCATTCTCTGGAATTACGAGCTGGTCTGTACACCAAGGGAGGAGGGGGGGCTGGGGATGATCTGCCCCAAAAAACGGTTTGAGAGCATAGCAGTGCAGAACGTCGGGCGCATGATGCTGCAAGCAAACCCGATCAAGAAGTGGTTGACGGAGCGGGCGGCGGCGTTGCCTCTGGGTCCGGATACGATATATGCTCACCAATCCCTGCTGAAGCACTGGGCGGAGGGAAGCAAGCGGTGGAAAGACATGGTGCAAGCATTCTGGAAATCCCCCTTTTGCGTCACCCCGGAGCCGGAAAATCGCTGGGAGGTGGAGCGCGAGCGGTTAGCTTTCAACAGACGTATACCTTTCCGGGGAGCCAGTCCGTTTGGGAACCAGAAAGGCTCGGCGTGTTTGCTGGATCTGACGATGGGAGATCTGATCTGGCGCCGGCCGGATGGCTCGCGGGGGCTGAAAGACGAGGGCACCTTGGTGAACGAACTTGGCAGTGTGGAGGCGGCGAAGCTGGCCTTGAAGGCTTTCGGAGCGGCGCCGGCCAGGTGGAGAGAGCTGGTGTTGGAACCCCTGACGAGCGAGGAATTTGCGGCTAAAGTTCCTCTATTGCGGTATCAGAGGGACGCTGCTTCACGCCCTACACTCTGGAAAGTCACCGGCACAGACAGCGGTAGGGTGACGAGGGTGATGTGCCAGGAAGGCGATGATGGTACTTTCACGGCTGGAAGCGGGAGATACCCGGTTAACTTCGGGCTGCACAGTGGGGAGCCGGTAGCGGCTGCCGGCAACAAGGCGTTGGGGGTGATGGGCGAGACGAGAACAAAACTCCTGCAGTCTAAGCTATGCAAGGACGGGGTGGTGGTGCCGCTGAAGGAGATCAGGACGGGGCTCGTTAGCTCGGCAGGCACTGTGAAAGAGCAGAGGAGGTGGATTGGGGACGGAAGGGTGATTGAGTGGAAAGGGGTCATCAAGCAGAGGGACTCGCTCGCCACCCCCGCCCGGGCACGTGAAATTCTGCTAAGGTTGCACTGTAGAAATCTGCAAGTGGGGGAGCGTCTCTTTTTTCTCAAGGAAAAAGTGGTCTGCCCACACTGTAGAGCGGAGGAGACACCGGAACATTGTCTGTTTGGCTGCCCGGCGATCCAGAGGGTGGTCCGGTTCTTGCGGAAGGGATTGGCGGAGATGAACCCGCTGCTAAACTGGCAGGGTTTGGGGGACCTGCTCTTCATGCAGAGAAGCACGAAGTCTGGCTTTCCGGAAAGCTCGTTTATTGCCACCACGCTTCACCAAGTGTGGTTGGCAAGGTGTGAGGCAAGTCGTCAGGGCGTCAGGATCCAGCCGAAAAGAGTGATACGTATGGCAGTGGTAAAGTTTGTCGCGCATGCCAGAGTGTACTGCCTGGCGAGACAAGTGGAGGCACGGAAACACGGCGTGGCTGTTTGCAATGACGAATGGGAGCATCTGGCAGCTGATGAGGCAATGGTGATGAGGCGGATCTGCAGTAAAGGGGCACCGCTGACGTGGCGGGGCAGCTTCAGCTCCATTTGGGACAACCCGAAGATGACTCATCAACCACCGTAGGCTGATATAGGGAATCTGCGGTACACGATACTGCAGCTCTTCCCTCCCGATACAGTTACGACTGCCTGATGCGTTTTGTACATTATCCTTTAGTGCACTTTTCCGTATCAAAAAAAAAAAAAAAAAGATCTCATTAGTGTGCCTATTGTATACCGCATGTTTTGTCTTGTTCTTGCGTGTTTGAGCAGGCAAATTCGTAGACTAGAAGCAAGTGGAATACACGCTCATGCTGCTCATTTTTCGTGGTTGCTATAATATTCACCGTTGGAAGTGCATTTTGGTGCACGCTGTAAGGAATTTTCACGAATTCCTTATCGGGGTTGACTGCTTCGCGTACAGCCCCGATTTTCGGACTCTGCACGTTCGGCCGATCTCAACGCTGCCGAGGCTCCTCGCGTCGCCTTCGGCATTTCCCTTTGCCAAACCTACACCCAACCTCGCTCGTCCGAGGTTCCCTCCTAGCTAGGCTAGCCCCTACATTAGTATGTGCCTTCATTGTATTCTCAGTTCATTCAATCACAGCCTCGTTATTCGTTTACCTGCGCACTCTCCTTTACACTTGGTATCATAGCTACTTTCCTAGTTCACCCCGCTTTCCGAGGGTAGTTTGGTGGCACGGGTGTGGCTGGTTTTGAGACTATACGACAGTTGGCTGCAAGGATTGTTAATTCAATCCTATCCGACTCCGATAGTTCGTGTTTTCATTTGCCTGAAGGCCACGGGTACCCGATTGCCCTCCAGATGTAGCGCTAGGCACATGGATAAGGAGGCGGTTAACAGGCTGATGGCGCAAGTGGCAGAAATGCAGAAGCAGGGCATGGAGTCATTAATGGCAGAAGTGACAACTTTATGAGAGGAGAACGCCGAGCTACGCCAGACGCGAGGTGAAGCGCGTCAGGAGTCGCCTGCTGACGAAGGCGAGGGAAACAGTCGGGCGTTGAGCAATCCATTGGATGCGCTCACACGTGACTTCGAAGAAGAAGATAGGCAGCGAGCGGCAGCAGCGCCAGTTGCAGTAACGTCGGTCAAGATTAAAACCGTCACCCCGCCCCCGTTCAATCCTACGGACAAGACGACTGCAATGAAGGGGTGGCTGTCCGGTGTTGAAGTCTTCTTCAGTGCAGCAGGCGTTAACGACGATGCCACATGTGTTAATTACGCGGTCTCGCTTCTTCGAGGTGCAGCGCTTGAATGGTGGCGCCGGACCTTGGACTTTAAAAGAGTCGATCTTCGGTGTGACCAAGATACGCACGTGGAAGGAGTGGGGCGCAGCCTTGCGAGATCGCTTCGAGCACGTATCCGCCTCGGAGCAAGCTCGCATGAAGCTGCGTACCTGGTCGCAGATGGCATCTGTCCAAGACTACACAGCGTCGTTCATGGGCCTCGCCGACCAAGTGGATGACATGTCGGAAGCAGAGCGGTTAGATAAATACATCAGCTGCCTCAAATACGAGATACAGTACGAGGTTCTTAGGGGCCGCCCGTCATCATTCCTAGAGGCAGTACGACTGGCGGAATCTACGGACGCGTTGATGCAGAACGCGATAACATCTTCCCGGGAGGGAAACTGTTTTCGTGGCAGACCCATCGGGCCACTATCAACGCCGTCCATACACCCGACCGCCCTCCTAAGGGACCGTGTTATAAGTGTGGGAAGACGGGTCACTACATGCGCGACTACCACGAAAAAACGCCGCTGACAGGGAACGACAGGAAGGAGCAGGGAAATGGGAAAAGTCAGTAATTAGCGGGCCCTTTACTGACTACGCTCCGTCGCCCAAATCCCACCATCCCCACGGAGTCGTGGTTCCGATTCATGCAATCGATCGCACTCGGCCGAATAAGGGGGATGATCATGTGGATCACCCTGTGCTGGTCGCTGGCAAGGTGTTAAAATAGTCGATGGAGGGGCCAGCCATAGCCTCTTCAACTTGGCGACAGCAAAAAAGTGTAAGCTGCAACTTGATAGGTGTCTGCCCGAAATCGACGCTCGCCTCGTGGATGGGACGCCTCTGGCGATAACAGAAGAAACACGGACGGTGCGGATCGAATGCGGCGACGATTTCGGCTTCAGCATGAAGTTCCTCGCGACGACGCTGGATGGCTGCGATGTGCTTCTGGGACGCGATTGGCTGCGGCGACACAACCCCGTCATCGACTGGACCACGGGGTCGTGTAGCGTCAGCAAGCACGAGGGGCTAATTAAGTTGCCTGCATGGGCACTTGACTACATCCAAGCCCCGT